TACCCGACCGGGTTTTGCAGAACCCGGATCGGGTTTCTTGAGAAAGTGCCCGGAATCTTCATTAGTCACATCTACCCAATCGGGTTTTTGATTTCCCCGATCGGGTAAAAGGCAAATCTTTGCCAAATCTTCGCCCTGCACGTTTAATTGCCTCCAAAACAAAATTTGATCTTCGGGTCAAGTCAAACCCGATCGGGTTTTTGGAAAACCCGGTCAGGTTTTTGACTATTTTCCAAAAATTCCACTTTCTCTTGTCCCCTTTGCACTTTCCTTGACTTTTCCAGGATCCTTTTGATGATCTTTACCTAGTTTAAGCTCAGAAAATCCCTAATCTAAACAAATTATAAGTATTTTACAAACAAAACTATTACACCAAAAGTGTGTAACTTCCAAAGCAACAATCAATCAAAACTAATTAAAAATACAAAAATAAACAATGGAAATTACATGAATGTCAGCCACCTAACAACATTTAGAACTCATTATGGACACTACGAGTTCCTAGTTATGCCTTTTTGATTGTGCAACGCTTCTGCGACATTTCAGTCCCTCATGAACCAAGTTTTCAAGGATTTCCCAAGAAAAACAGTTTTGGTGTTCTTTGACGACATCCTGATATACAGCCCACTTTGGGAACAACACATGGAGGATCTAAGAAGAGTCTTGGAGGTCCTGAGAAAACATAAATTATATGCTAAGAGAAGTAAGTGTACCTTTGGCCAAGAATCAATCTCATACCTGGGTCATATTATTTCTCACAATGGTGTTGCCACCGATCCTGACAAAATGGATAGCATGGTGAACTGGCCTACTCCTACAACCTTAAAACAACTGAGGGAATTCCTGGTGTTGACAGGCTACTACAGGAAATTTGTAAAAGGATATGGAATCATAAGCAGGCGCTTGAGCTCACTGCTCAAGAAAGGGGCATTGATAGCCGCTTTCGCGGCGTTGTAGTAAAACGGAGTCTAACCTTTCGGTTTTTCCCCGAGTATCGTGTCTCTTGAGGAATGGCGGAGGAGTTTTCTTAATTTAGTCTTAGTCACGGGCTATCGCTAATTGTTGGAAGCTTTTTCAGTACAAAAAAGGTGATTGTATTCTAGACTAGGCCAAATTGCACAATTACACTAGGAGCAAATTTCAACTAAAAGATTTAAGATTTAAATATTCTAAAAAATTATTGAGGCAAGTAAGGGCAATGAATTGAGTAATTGGAAATGGATATCTTCTTGGACCTAGTAATTAGGGGAATTTAAAACTAAAATTGGACTAATAATTTCTTTTCTCATAGACAAGAATAGAAATTACTTTCATTAATTTATCCTATTTCTAGGTTTCATTAATGTATTCAAAAATGGTTGGCTTGAATTAAATTCTAATCTCATAGACAAGGCAGAAATAATTCTCCAAAATTTTAATTAATAAAAAATAGCCGAATTCATTAACTAATTAAATTCATTATTTAAGCAATTTGAATTTATTTCTCATAGACAAGATGTAAATCCATTTCATTAAAATTATCCTATTTCTAGGCCTTATTAATGTGCTTGAATAAAGTTGGCTCAAATTATTTTCTAATCTCATAGATAAGTTAGAAATAATTTTCCAAAATTTAATTAATGAAATTGGCTAACAACTATTAATTACTAATTCATCAAATTGAATAACTAGCTCAATTAATTAATTTTAACCCCTAATTTTCGGCTAACAAGTCAACCATATTCCTTTACTCAATTCATTCCCAAAACAAATTTAGCTACTAAACATTATTTTTGCATTCAACAATATGGTAAATAAATTAAACATTAACATGGAATTAAACATGTATAATAGAAAAAATTAAACAAAAATAAGATATTGTCAAAATAAACTTTATGGAACTACAATATGACTTTCTGGAATTTTTTACGAATTTTCAGACCTAAAATCCAATTTTAACAATTAATTGATAATTTTCCCACTTTTAACTATAAAATACAAAAGGCAATTAAAAATAGGCTAAATTCGTTATAAATTTTTTGTTGACTACTAGGGGTGATATTACAGTGAAATAATCTGGAATTAGGGCCGAGACTGTTTTTTTTCTATTTTTGTGTAATTAATTTAATTTATGCAATAATAACACCTAATTACCGAAATTAATTAAAAATTACCGAAATTATTCGAAGAACAGATCGAGAAAACAAAGCACAGATTCAGATTCTACTCGTTGAGAAGATGAAAATACATATAAAGAACTTACAATTTGAAGCTAAAATGAAGAAGATATGAAGATTTGAAGTTTCTCTCTCCCAAAAAACCTTGGAGCTGCGGAAATAGCCAAAGAACAGGACCTTTTTGAACTGAATTAGGGTTGGAAGAGGTGTGTTTGAGTTCAGCAAAAATCGGGATATTTATAGCATAAAAAATCTGGTAGGCGGCCAAACAGGCGGCCGCCTCTGGTCCTGTCCCGGCCGCCTTCCGTCACGTCACCGGCAGGACGTGACGCCGGTCAACTCATCCGCCGCAGGCGGTCCAGCAGGCGGCCGCCTGCCGTTCCTGTCTGGCCGCCTGCCGTCAAATCCCACCGGCCAGTGGTTGGTTCGTTGCCTTGTGCCGCAGGCGGTCGTCGAAGGCGGCCGCCTTCCGTCCAGTGTCGACCGCCTTCCGTTTTTCTTCGGTCCGGTCAAATTTGATCAAAATTGACTTTTTTTAAAAAAATGGTAGGCGCGTGGTAGGCGGCCAATCCGGGCGCCTATTTGGGCGCCTGTGAGGTTTTTTGTCCGTCTTGTTCTGAATTTTGTGCTCTTCAACTTTCCCTTCTGAATCACTTTGAAATTATGCTTCCTTTTTTCGGTATGATATCATTTGTCACTCAAATTGACGCATTTTGTGCTAAATTGACCCGAAATTTCATCAAACATATCATGGATGTGATTTTTACCTGATTTCACGAAACTTGAACCAAAATATATAAAACATGCCTTGTTTTTCTGTTTTTCAGTCCAAAATCACTTAAATTTGATAAGAACAATAAGTACAAAAATGGACTTATCAGGCATTCAGTTGGAAACAGGATGCAGAACACGCTTTTAAGGAGCTAATGAATGCTATGACAACCACACCAGTCCTAATGCTCCCCGATTTCACTAAACCTTTCACCATTGAGACTGATGCTAGTGGTGGTGGTTTAGAGGCAGTGTTAATGTAGGAGGGAAGGCCGTTAGCCTTTCTAAGTAAGAAGTTGGGAGTGAGGCATTTGGGACTTTCCATATACGAAAAAGAGTTTTTAGTTGTGCTTATGGCTATTCAAAAGTGGAGGCACTACATATAGGGACATAAATTCATTATCAAAACTGATCGACAAGACTTGAAACATTTATTGGATCAAGAAATGAGTACACCCTTGCAACAAAGGTGGATAACTAAGCTACTGGGGCTGGATTATGATATACAGTACAGGAAGGGGGGTTGAGAATAAAGCAGCTAATGCTTTATCAAGGAGGGACCTAAAGGATGTGAGTTGCATGTCTCTTTCTATAGTAAAGCCAGTATGGGTACAACATGTATTGGATAACTCATTGTTCTAAAATTCGCTAGGCGTTAGTCGGGCGGTTGAAGGGCGTCTAGCGTCTAGGCGGCCGACTAGGCCGATTTTTTGGTCGACTAGGCCGATTTTTAGGTCGACTAGGCCGATTAGTGTTCCTCGGTTAGGGCCGCCTAGGACGCCTAGACCGATTAATCGGTCCGACTAGGCCGATTTTTAGAACAGTGGGATAACTATGTAAATGATACCTTCCCATCACAAATCATCAGTGATAAATTGAATGACCCTAATTCCCATCCAGACTATGAGGTTATTGATGGAATTCTAAGACATCAGGACAGACTAGTCATTGGCAATTCTACAGAACTCAGGTACACAATTTTCAAGGAACTACATGCTTCAGCCTTGGGAGGGCATTCAGGAATTCAAGGACTTACATGAGGGTGAAGAGGGTATTTTATTAGCCTAAAATGAAGGGACACATCATGTTATGGGTACAGAACTCGGCTCTTGTAACCCCTACCCATTCCAGATCAGGCATGGAGCCACATAACCCTAGATTTCATAGAGGGACTGCCAAAATCACAAGGTAAGGATATGATTTTAGTGGTAATTGACAGACTCACTAAATATGGGCACTTCATACCTATGTCACACCCCTACACAGCCAACCATTTAGCAAAATTGTTCATGGATCAAATCTACAAGTTGCATGGGCAACCCTTGGACATACTCACTGATAGAGATGCAGTATTCTAAAGTGGATTTCGGAAAGACCTTTTCAAACTTATGGGCACCCATTTAAGTTATACATCTGCGTACCATCCACAGTCAGATGGGCAGACAGAGAAACTAAATCAGTGTTTGGAGTCCTACCTCCAAGCAATGACCCATCAAAATCCCAAGAAATGGCTTCAGTGGATACCCCTTGCTGAGTATTGGTATAATACTAATTATCACACCAGTTTAAAAACTACTCCTTTTGAGGATTTATATGGGCACACACACCCCAACCTTATCCCTACCCACACCTTCGGCGTTAACTAACCTGGAAGTTAAAGAACTCATTAACCACAGACAAAGGTTGAGATAAGAACTGAAAGAAAATCTCAAATTGGCCCAAAAACGAATGAAATATTATGCAGACAGTAGACGAATTGACAGGGAGTTTGTGGTGGGTGACAAAGTCTATTTAAAATCGCAACCTTACAGACAGCAATCAGTGTCTATGCGTAGGAACCATAAACTATCGATATCTATGCGTAGGAATCATAATGAATTTGCAAATTTCAAAATCTCAAGCTTTAAATGTATTAGTAAAGGTTCTTTTTTAGATTCATTATTGTTGTTCATCAGCATATAATTTGACTATCTGTCCAAAGTACAAAATCAGTATGTAAACTATATGTTATTTTTTAGTTACATTTTGTTTATTGCGATATTAGTTACATTTTGTTGACATTTTGTATTATGTAGATGGCAGATTCCTCCTGTTGTGAAGACAATGCTAACATAGTTGATTTTGACCTCACAATTGAACAACCAATGGAGGAGGACACTTCTGTTGCACAAAAGAGGAAGCAACCATCAGCCTCAAATGTCGGTGCTTTGCCTCCTAAAGGTCCAAAACAAAAGAAAAAAAAGAAGTAGCACCAAGATCAAAGGTATGGGAGCACTTCACGAAGTTTGGTCCAGCACTAGATAAGTGTAGATGTAACTACTGCTCTAAAGAATATCAGTGTGGATGGGTCGGCAAAGTGTGGAACTAGTACTCTGAAAACTCATAATGAAAAATGTCAAGAGTTTAAGAACCATCTTGAAAGGGAATCCCCAAAAAATCTTACCCGTGTTAATATAAATGATAGTGTTGGTGGTCAACTTGTAGCCATTGGATTTATTCAAGAGGCATGTAGAATGACATTAGTTAAGATGGTGATTTTAGATGAATTGGCATTGCGTTTTGTTGAAGGGGTGAGGTTTAGACATTTCTGTAGTGTTGTTTGTCCTAAATTTGTTGTCCCATCAAGAAGAACACTCGCTAGGGATATTATGGAACTCCATTTGAAAGAAAAATCTACCCTTAAGAGTTTGTTCAACAAACAAATAGTTTCTTTAACAACTGATATATGGACAGCTAACACTACCACTGTTAGTTATATGGTCATCACTGCACACTTTATTGATGTGAATTTCCAGTTGCATAGGAGAATTATTAGTTTCAATCCAGTTTGTGATCATAAAGGAGAGACAATAGCTAAACAAATAGAGAGCTGCTTGATTGATTGGGGTATTAAGAAGGTGTTCACTATTACAGTAGACAATGCCACTGCCAATGATAGCGCAATTAGGATCTTGAAAAGTAACCTAGGTTCTTGGAGAGATGATCCTTTACTTTTTGATGGTGAGTTCATGCATGTGCGTTGTTGTGCACATATATTGAATTTGATTGCGAGAGATGGTTTGGCCGATATAAGCAATAGTGTTGTTAGTGTCCGTAATGCAATGAAGTATGTCAGGTCATCTAATGCTAGATTTCAAACTTTTCAAAAACGTTCTGACCTTGATAAGGTGACTAGAGGGAGTTTGATTTTGGACAACAACACTAGGTGGAATTATACTTACCTCATGTTGACTGCAGCACTTAAGCATAGGGGGGCTTTTGATAAAATGGCCGTTGAAGATAAGTTGTATGATGGTTACTTTCTAGAAGACGAAAAGGGTCAAAAAAGAGTTGGACCGCCAAAACTCAATGATTGGGAGAATGTTCGACGATTGGTAAGATTTTTAAAGATCTTCTATGATTCAAGTTTAGTTTTTTCCGCATCTAAAAGTGTGACGGCTAGTAGTTGCTATAATGAGATATGCTCACTTGAAATGAATCTAAAATCAATAATCAGCAACTCTGAACCCAACTTCAGTAAGGCTGTCAGTGATATGAAAAACAAGTTTGAAAAATATAGGGAGGGTGTGGAGATTAACAAACTACTCATTATTGCGAGTGTGTTTGACCCAAGAAGTAAAATGACTTTTGTGACCATTTGTTTGGAGAAATTACATGGTAAAGATAGTGTGAAGTGTATTCAAATGAAAGAAGCGGTCATAGAAGTGCTACATAGGTTGTATGAAGAATATAGTGCATCACATTCTAAAAAGTGTAATGCATTTGCATGTGAAAGTGAAAGCAGAAGTGTCAATCAATCTTGTTCCTTAAGTGAGAGTAATTCACATGATTTCTTGAATTTGGATGGCGATGATGGATTTGAAAAACTGACTTCTGAATATTCTCAAATGGTAAGTGAAAAGGGAAGTTTGGAAGAAACATCTACTGAGTGTGATGCCATCACGCAATAGATTGGGCATGCATTTCGATATCACATCATGGTGGAGGGGACATAGTGTGAAATTTCCAGTTTTGGCTGAAATGGAAAGATATATTCTTGCAATTCCTGTCTCAACGGTTGCATCCGAATCTGCCTTTAGCACAGGAGGTCGTGTTTTAGATCCATATAGGAGTTGTCTAACTCCACATATGCTTGAGGCGCTGATTTTGACACAAGACTGGTTACGTTCATCACTTGATTACGATGCAAAAGCGTGCCTTCACCAAATAATAGAGGAAACAGAGTTTATGGATTCAATGGCTGAAGGTATTTTAAGTTTTAATTATTTTAAATTCATTATAATGTTTTTTAAAATGCATTTAACTAGGTATGCCATGCTTCAATTGAATTGTTTTAGAGCTCCGTAAATTAAGCGAGCAACAAGGTGATATTTGATATTTGTGCTTGGTAAAGAATACTAAAGTTTCATTTTTCCAAGTATGACATAGTACTTGCTTTCATAATGCTTCCAGATTTCTTTCTAATGCTGCTTTTAAATTTTAATTAAGTGTTAAGAATTAAGACATCCAATGTTTGACATTCGTTTTTCCTTTAATGTCATGTTTTCTTTGCAGGTATGGCTGCAGGCAGTTAGTACGGATGCAGGCAGTTAGTAATGGTGCTGGTTCTAGTATGCAGATTTGGAGACTTTTTTTATTTTTTTTGTTTCTCCTTGAACTATGATATGCAAGTGGCTCTTGTAAGCTAGTGTGTCAAACTTTCTTTGGTTTAGCAGGTGCACGCAGTATGTATGTTTAAGCTATGAACTTTCTTTGGCTCTTGTAAACTACTGTGTACTGCATGCAATATGTTACAACTATGTAGTATGTACACTTGCAATTTTTGTTTTCAGTTGAAGCATTATTATGTTTGTGTAGCTAGGTTCTCAAAGGGAGACAGATTGCTCATGTGCTGGTGGAGTTTCACATGCCTTACTCACATGTTCCTTGAGGGTTACTTTGTCTTTTCTCCGAACTTCTACAAGAAAAAAACTCCCATCTACTTGGTAGAAGTTTGGAAAGAGTACAACAAGGGTGACTCTAGGTATGTTACACGCGATTCTACTGTTGTTTCTCTTGAAGGAATCACAACATTGTTAGAGTGACCAACATGTCTTCTTGCTGTGTATGCAATAGCTACAAGGAAGGCATACAGGTATATACTCCAGGTGGCCATTTCTTTGGGTTAGCTCTATGGTACAACTGTGTATTTCATAACAGCAATCTTGGAGGGTGACAATTTTGCTGCAAGCCCGTATCATTACTTCTGGTACTATGTGTTTGCAAATTCCTTTTGGGTCTGGATACCCACAATCATTATTGTTCGTTGTTGGAATAAAATTACTTCTGCAGTTCATTCACAATACCAGATAAAGACCAAGACTCGCTGAGTATATCAACATGCACCTGCCACCGCTTTTTACCCGCTCTTGGATTAACGTTCATTTGGGTTTTGTGGGAACAAAATGAACAATTCAATTTAACTTATATGTAGTATGTACTTTTTTTATTTCATATAGTTGGAATTTCAATGAAAACATAACATTCAAAATTACTCAAAGTGTACTGTAAATAATGTAACAACACATAATCATTTTCAAGTTTATAAACCGAACATCACACCGAACACCAAACCGAACACCAAACCGAATTTTTCCCAAACCAAACCGAAACCAAAACGAAATTCTTTTGGTTTGAGTTTGGTACTATTTTTCTCAAACCGAATAAACCGAAAACGAACCGAAACCGATAAAAACTGAATTGTAAACCGATTCGCGCACCCCTAGTAACTTGTATATATGCAGTCATCTCATTTGATGACCAGCAAATCAATACAATCATTATTCTACCATATTTGATTTCAGTTTTACACAATTCTCGAACGGTCAATTTTTGAAAGAACAACAAAATGGATGCTTTAGTTCTCGGAAACAGCAACAACCCTCCAATCCTAAGGAGAGGAGAATATCATATTTATGTGGAAAAATCGTTTCTTGAACTTTCTCTAGAGTAAAGATAATTCATCAGCAATACTCGAATCATTGAACCAAGGACCTGCCTAGAAAACCTGAAAGATGAGATTGATTCTCGGTCGCTATTTTTTTTTTTTGCTTTGGTAAAATAAGAATTCAGGAGGATAGTAGCTATTTAGTCGTTGTCGTTTTGCAGAAGTAAAATTAGAACGTTAAGGACTAATATGCAATTTTAAAAATAATTTTAGCCGATACGTGAGTTGGAATAGTTAACAAATCAGATTGTGCCACCTATCAAATGCACCGAAACAATCCAAAATGTGATTGCACCATAAAAATTTCCTTTCTAAAATACGTATATTTTACCCTCCTCTACTAACATGTATAGAGTAAGACAGTAAGTATAGGCATCTACTCCCTCCGTTTCTGAAACAAGTTCCACATTTCCTTTTCGGGCAGATTCAAAATTAAGTTCCACTTTCAAACATTTCCTTATTATCTACATCAAAACAGTGTCAAAAAGTGCCAAACGGTGTTGAAACAGTGCCAAACAGTGCACTCCACAGTAAAGTCAATTTTATTTTTTTAATATGTGTGAAGTCAAATGTGGAACTTGTTTAGGAATCGGATGGAGTATATTTTTAGTAATAAAGACTAACTATATCTTATCTGTTATGTAATTAAGTAGATGTCCATTAATCATAGGCCCATATGCAATTGCCCATATCATGATTGTAACCCTAGCTCCCCCTCCCTTGTATATAGCTTTTGATGGTTGACTTATAACACGTTATCAGCACGAGCTATGCACACATTTTTTCTCTCTCTTTCGAGATTTCATTCTTGTTTTCGGCTTTGAAAATCTCTTGGCAAGGGAATCGGAACAATCCCCCTTTTATCCAACCAACAACGGAGAAGGAATGATCATCGTCCCATCCTCCACACAATTATCTGCTAGGAGCGTATGTATAGTCTCTCTCCCTCCAGGTACAACGTACATCTGCTATTCCATGCATTCTGCTTTTAAGTTTTGCATTTGAAATCCTTTTTACATATGAATGTGTATGAATTATTGATAAAAATTTATAAAGTTGATCCAAAAATGTTAGAGTAACCATTTTACTAGATCATTGTCTTCATTGATATGACCCCATTTCAGATGTGACTAAATCACAGCCTCTTTACAAAAATGACTTCTCAAATTTCTTTTTGGTTATGTACTTGAGATATACATATACTTTTAAACATATTTGATGAAAGGGGCTGTTTGAAAATTGAAATCGTTAAAACCCTTAGTCTTCCAATTCACAAACAATATGCTGGAAAAAATAATAATCCTGGAATCCATTTTATTTATTTTATTTCTGGATATTGTTTTGTTTACGGCTTAAACTGTATGCATACAACTAAATATGATACACTAAGCAGCTACCAAACATAAGTATTTGATATTTTTGGGTTCTCAAAGTTGTTTAGGAATTTGAACTGTTTTCATGAATGTGAATGAGGTAGTAAAGATCATGATCGGCTCATGCCAAAAGCTCAAGAAATAACAAGGAAATTGATTCTTATATTAAATAATAAAAATAAAAAATAATTAATGACATTTATTTGTCAATTTCGGTTACATTAGAGAATTTACTTGCTCAATTAATGAAATAAAATGAATTTAATTAGCATATAATATTAGCATATATACTTCCTAATATCTTTTAAATGTATTAGCATGTCACTCTTTAATTTGCACAGGTCAAATCACTTGAAACAAAATGATCTTTTTATGAACATGTACGGCTAGATCAAAGACCATATAACACTTAAAGTTACCGGGACCCTCTTTTAATAACATGAAAATCCCGGGACCCTCTTTTAATAACATGAAAATCTTACACAATCTCAGGCAAACATGTTTTAACGGTTGTAAATATTCAATGTTGAAATGTTATATGCTAGTATCTCATTAGTAATAATAAGTACTCGTAGTATATTAATTGCTAGAGTTACAAAAGCAAGAGGGTGTACACTATTATGCATGGACAGTGTCACCTCATAAGTTATGCCGGGTATTTGCTTATTGTTCTTAATTAATATACGTGGTACAAAGTATGTATTAACATGTATATTATACAAATTACAAATAAATAAAAAAACAAAAGTTATACTCTTCCCCTTATATAAAAAGTGACGGGATGAAGGTTTGACGTGTGGCAAATAGCGGTCGGCCGCTAGTTAGGCGAAAGCTCATACAGAGTATATGACAACCAGATAAAGTAAATGTCTATCGGTTATAGAAGGACTAAAATAACATCTGATTTACGTAATGGATCTAAGTTGCATGCCAAATAACACCAATAGAGTAAGAAATTTATTTTAATATAAAGAAACTGTTTTCTTTTTACTTCGTATTTAAACAAATAATTTAATGACATTTATTAGTCAATATCAGCTACATGACATTTACTTGTTCAACTCATGACATAAGTTAAGATTTAATTAGCATATATTTTGATCATTACTATTATTTATGGCATCTTTGATCCAATTGCACTATTTGCTAACGTGTCATTACATGATATGTTTCACCTCATTTAATTAATAAACATTTACATTTAGATTAAAAAGAAATTGAGAAATAAATCGAATACGTTATTAAGAATTTTGAAGTACATCAAATAATATAATAATTGTTGAGGGTAAGTCCCGTAGATCCGAAAGCCCAACACGAACTTTGGATATATCAGGAATGGCCCAGAATCAATGCGTGTAAAAAATATAAGATCTGAACTAACTAAAACTCGAAAGCTCACTTGTATTAATTAACCAATCCGATTAAAGCATAATTTCCCGATCGGTATGTCGGAAACTATGCTTTAATACAAGAAATAAGAGCAAATGATGCTATTCTAGAGCTTGAGTATCGAAATGCTAACCCTTACAATGACTTGAAACCTTCTATTTATACCAATGGAGAGCATGGGCTGCCTCTTGCTGATTGGCCGTTGTGCCACCGACTTGGTCATCCATGCTTCCACTTGCTGATGTCATAGTCTGGCATTAATTGCACCTGGCCACTTGCTGGTTGGCCGTTGCTCGAACGGGATGTTGGGCTGTACTGAAGATGCTGTCAATTTGGCCCAAGTATGATATATAGACCGAGCCCCGTTCGGTATGTCTTCTTACTGGGCCAACCTTTATTTGGGCCGAACTCCGTTCGGTATGTCTTCTTACTGGATCTATTCATCATAGAGTGATGGGCCCGTTGCTTGGGCCGGATATCTTGGGCCTTCCCGATCTGGGTATTGGGCCTCTAGGTCAATATCCCAACACAAGTCCCCCACTTCCGATGTCTCGAACGATAGTGAGTGCATTAGGAAGTATATCAATGTTATAATACCCCGAATGGTGATCGGGGTACAGAAGTAATCAGTTCCCCATGCTGTGATTTGACGGCTGCCGCTTCATTTCCCCATTTTCATCATGATAACCGTCGTTTAGTCTTTTCATTAAACACGTGTTTAGCTTAAATGCTTCTTATGGCGTGTCGCTTTCTGATTGGTTTTTGACACGGCAGTTTCAAGGCTATAAATTAGCCTTTAACTTCTCAATTCCGGGTTTCGATTCTGCAACTCCTTGGCCTTTGTTGTTTCCTCTGCAAATTTTCTCCCAGCTTCTTTCGCTCAGGTAATTCCTTCAAATCCGGATTCCTTATCTTCATTTCTGACTCGACCGAGATGAGCCCCAAACAGCATTCCTCTGATTCGGAGATGGCTTCCCACAGTGACGCCGCTATTGTGGACGTTATTACAGTCCCGTTTGCCGGCGGTTCTACTGAAACGGCGACGAATACCAG